TTTGGGTTTCGTTGATCAGTCGGCATTACATTAATGATTTTAGTTTTGTGCAACAATCAAAATATGGTTCCTCATTATTAAAATATAACATAGACCTAGACGCAACAGACATACTTACATACATGCAACTGTACAGATCATAAATGAATATACATAAAGCATATAATTACATAATACTCTCAAGATTTATAATGGAGGCCATGGCAGGAGAGAAGAGTTTACCCATATTCTACCTCGAATTTAATGCATTGAATGGCTAATGGCTACATACTTACATATATTTATTAGATTAATATTTATAAGTTATCCACTGACGTACTTGGAATCTTAACTTTGTACTGAGCTCATTAGAATGCCCTTAAATTCTTTTATAATTTCGGTTAAAATATATTTTGAATTTTGGGTTTGGGTTTTTAAACAAATTTGCCAAAATAACAAATGATTTCTTGTTCCTAGACATCGCCAAGCAAAACATTTTTCAATAAATAGTTATAAACAAGAAAACAAGACGGAGACAGAGCCCCTTTTAAGTCAAGTAAGATAATATGATGATGCCATGGTAAACTTTTTGCAATACACACAATGTGCCCATAGAACAAGTAATTTATAATAAACGAACAAATAAAATCAAATGAATTATTTATATTATACTTATATGAAGCAAACTGTTGTTTTTGCAACATAAGAGCCACAAACCAAGAGAAATAGTACCGAAAATATTTTACAGAATTTTTTACAATCAGAAACAGAAACAGCAACAGCAAGAGAAAATAGCAATAAACAATAGTTAAATAAAATGAAAATACAAACAGCAGACAACCAACAACTAAAATACCCAAGGTCAAAACGCGACGAATAACACAAAAAATAATACAATTATAGTAACATTTACTAACAACAACAAAAAAAAAAAAAACAAACAAACAAAACCATTTAAAACAAATAAACTAAAGAAATAATTAAAAAAAAATATTTGACTAAGTGTTAAGTGAAATATGAAAAAGAAAAATTTGTAAACTTGCGTTCGCTTATGTGTAAGAGCATGACAAATAAATAATAATCTAACAGATAACATGAAATAAATAATTAAGTTCTACGAAAAAGTGAAAGACATCAAGAAATACCAATAGAAATAACGAGAGAACCGAACACAATTTGTTATGTTGGCATTTATTTAAAGATTAACAGATTAACAGATTAACAGGTTTACAGATTTACACAGATTTAAAGATGATCAAATACTATGTTTTCAATTAAATAGTACAGTTTGTAATTTGTAATTATTATAAACGATTGACAGGGACTACCACATAATAACCATAGAAATAGCTGAAGCTGAGCAACACAGACAGAACAATAGCAACAAATTTTATTTAAGGTTCAGCTAAGAGATCAACATTTACTTATATTATGCATATAATTATTATTATACTGTACATAAGCAACAATGCACATATGACAAGAATCCCATGAACAGAAAATAACTGCAATAGTACCGAAGTAAGTAAATCAATTATTTATTATTCTTATTCCGCCAAGATACAAAGTGCGTTCGTTGTATAAAATCAAATGAAAATACAAATACAAAATACAAATAAAATAAAAAAAAAACATAGCTAAAATTTATGTTCTAAACTAAATGACAAACAGGAGTGTTTAAAACTGAACACTCGCTCGAAACCCAGTTGAGATTCGTTAGAGTTTCATGAATTTTCTCAATTTTTTGTTAATAACAATCGCAACATATCCGATTTCATAATAAACCCAAACCCTAACTTAAGTTTTGCCACAACATCTTCAAACCCATTGTTGTTTTTTTTTTTTATCAGAAAGTGAGACATAATGTGTTTAATTTGTTTGTTGAGCAGTGTAAGAGATTGAAGCCACAAATCAAACAAAGCAATAGTGATACAAGCTGAACAGGTGGGAACAGTTGTTTTTGTCAGCAACCCAACTACCTGGTCCAGTTGCCATAGCCTGATTACAATTAAAGCCCAAAACAAAACAAACAAACAATAATCCAATCCAAGTGAATCTTCTGATTTATATACAACAACAAGAATACATATAACAAATGCAACATATACCGCAAAACAGCAACCATAGTACAATAAATACATTTTTCTTATTGAGAGCAACTTTTATACAACCGATCAACAACAACAAATGCAAAGCAATAGACAAAATCGCGAGGAAAAACCAATTAATTAATACAGACACTACAAATCTTCTAAACAAAATCAGTTGAAGCAAATCAAAAGAGCGTAAAAAAAACAAATAAATAAATATACAAGAGAACAAAGAGCGGAACTCAACAAGATAAAAATGAACAAAATATAAAATAAAACTATATAGTACATATATTTTTTAAAGAAGCAAAACTAACAATAGCTAAAAACGATTGTTGAACATTTTTATATATGAATTTATATAATTTCTATTTAATTCAAATGAAAAGTGAATTATACATATATAAACAAACAATCAAAAACCAAAAAACCAATGATAAGAAAGAAAAAAAAGAAACTCTTTTTTATATTACAAGAGTCAAAACATCAAGCAAACGACAATTATCAAAAATCTCACTTTACTGGTAAAAAAAAAAGAAAACACAAGAAAGTCAATTGGTAAGCGCAATAAAAATAAATACAAATAAAACAAAAAAAAACTACAAAAAATGCACATGATAAGCAATAAAACTGGCTACAACAATTCATATATTTTCAATTTATTTTATTGAATTCTCTTCAATTTCGATTTGATTTTCAATCTAAACCAATTTTTGTTTCCAATGTCAAGATTTTCCAATTAGTCTTTTGCACAAAACATCAACAACAACAACAACAACAAGATCAAAAAAAAAAATACAACAAGCAACAAAGCGAACATTTCAAAACTAACCAATTACTGGCAAAGCAAGTTTCGAAACTCAAGTTTTACAAAATATTTGTGGCTAATATAAAATGAAAGTATGATAAACGATATGCATCTAGAAGATAATTTTATGAACTTTTGGCAAAGAAAGCGACCAATTGTCCAGAAACTAAATAAAAATGTCTTAAAAATGACGAGGATCGTCATAGAAAAGTTTGGTCATTTTCAAAAATGGTATAACACTAATTTAGAAATCAAACACTAAATTTAAAAATGATGGCTTGACCAAAAGGCAAATATATATATAAAAAAAAAAAACCTTTGATATGATGAAAGAAAAAAGAACATTTCTCGGCCTATTCCAAAACTTAAAAACATCTCGGCTAATACGTAAAAGGAAAAATCCTCTCGGCAATTACAAAATTTCAAAAAATACATTGAGCATTCATGGCAACTACAATTTACATTAAATTACATTTTTGGAGCAAATAAAACAAAATTTACACTTAAGCCAAATGTTTCAGCATCATTTTTTAAAAACGAAAAAATCACACAAAAAAAAAAAACAAAATCAAAAAAAAAATGTTAAAATTAAAATGCAAACGCGGAAACAAAAAAATTCAGCAAACTTTAAGTACTACTAAAAATAAAATACTTTAGGTATTAAAATTAAAAATAATACTAAATTATAGTAAGCAAGAAAAAGAAAAACATACATTTTGAAAGCGGAAATGGGGAAAAATGGAAAATTAAAAAGCAAGCATTATTAAACACGATGGAGAGTAAATAAGTACATACTATAAATAAAATCTCAAAAGAATACAACGGAAATATACTAAAAAACAAAATGAAAATTCAAAATTTTAATTGTTGTAAGCAAAAACTCAAAACAAAGCTATATATACGAGCATATAATCAGCACACTTCTTAAATAAAAAACACTTAACATAAAACCCCAACACTGATGAAGATTCTACTTATCAATCCAAAATCAACAATCCACACACACACACACACAACACACCTACACACACACACACACACACACACACACACACACCACAAATTTTGACCACCTAAGAACACGAAACACTGAAACCCACAAGCCACATTAGCCACGCCCACAAATCTTTCCATTGGTTTAGATTTTAAGCATAATTTTAATAATGTAATCGTCAGCCAAAGTAAACAACAACAAATTTCAAGGCAGTCAACAATTGTCCAAAATTACTCCAATATACGATTTTAAGGCAAAACAGAACAAAAATTGAAAAAAAAAAACACAAAAAAAAATCAAGTCAAAAATAAAATATTTAAGCGTGTAAAACATATGCAAAACGTCGTCTAGTTTAATGTCGTCAAATTTTACTTTTTGTAATAATTATTAATATTAAAAAAAAAAACATATATATTATATAACATGGCAAAAGTATTGTAAACGTCTAATCGACCTACTAATTTCAAAACATAAATCCCCCTTCCAAACAAAAAAACAAAAAAAATGCTAAGCTAAAAATGCCACGGCATGTGCAACCAAAAAAAAAAACATAAAATTAAAATAAAATGAAACTACAATGAATTTCTGGCATCCAAAATATAAAAAAAAAAAACATAGAAACTACTTAAATTACGAAAAAAAAACAACTTATATTATTATACAAGAAAATGGAAAATGAAATAAATTGAATCTTGTAATATAAAAAAAAAACAAAGTCAAATGTTTTAACTAAACGTTGAACGTGAAAAGAAGAATCATATTGAGAAGATAGACGAAAATAATGTCGAGTTTTCAAACAATATGATTTCTATATATAATATATGGAAGGTAAGTGATGAACTGAAAACGCAAGAAAAAAGCAAACAACTGCTTCTGAGACTTTCGATTTGGCTGTTTCCTTGATAATCATCTTACTTTGAAATTTTATTTAGTTATAGTCTTAGTTTTTCCATATCATATCGAGAGGTTAAGCAACATACTTATGAGTGAACTTGGAATTTCAGAATATAGCTGAGCAGCTAGCATATCTCACAGCTTGGCTTCACAGCTATATTTTGATGTACCCGGTTCACATACTTGCATTTTGATGATTGATAATGATTGTTAGCTAGATTTTTTAAGTGTATACGCAGAGCTGTATGAGGTTTGCATGTGATTCTGCTTGTCCAAGATCCGTTCGTATTCGAATTGCTTGGCAAAGTTCCGAGTCTGTGTGAGATTACCAAAGCACTGCAACATATCCGTATCTGATCGTCCACGGGCTGGCTGCGATTTCGTTGAGGCCAGCTCCTGACGCAGCCGTGGCAACAGATCGTAGACTAAAGTATTGGTCGTTGTATAGTTGTCCCTAAGCTCGTCTGTATCCATTAGCTTGACATTCGATGTGGTCGCCTCGTAAAAGTGACGATTTTGCGTTGCGCGCTTCTCCACGAAATAGCGCTCTAATTCGACCCTGTCCTGTCGCTTATTCGTGTAGGTGTCCTGGCTGAGGGAGCGATGCTGTTCGCAGTGATCGCATGGACTTAGTCCCGGCAAAATGCCATTAGTCTTTTCATCAGAGGTGTAGCGACGATCCATCCAATTGCCAACTAACACTTGCTTGCCATATGGCGGTGTTACCATCCTATTCATGTGGAACCAATAAGAACTATAATTGAACAATAAATATGATAAAATCTTTAAAATATTTTAATTGATGAGCGAAACCCGAAAACTAACTAATAAACAACAAACAAACCTTTCAAAACGTACTTGATAAGGAACGATCTGAGAAGGAAAAGATTTATTCTCTTGTAAAGTTATTTATAAACGAACGATTAAACAAATTTTGTATTTGAAATGGTCGATTCGATTCTCATAGTCTTTCAATCATGTCCTTCATCTTAGCACTTTTTGCAGGACTTCCCTGTCTGCCGGAAAAGTCAAGCTTGTAGCTTGTGGCCACTGGACACAAGGGTTCCTTAACATCTGGACGCTTAATTGAGCTATGGGTGCCGAATGAATCGAGAGTGTCAAGTTTCGAGTGTTTTGCCGCATCCTGCTTCTTTGTGGCACTTGCTGCGTTTTCCTCCTGCAACATTTTGGGCCACAGTTCGTAGACGAGGGTATTCAGTGACGTATAGTTGTTGTTAAATTTCTCGGCATCCAAGTATTTGACACTGGTACGCTGTGCCTTCGAATTACCAAACTTTCCCACCTTCGCCTCCATGTAGACGCGTGTCATGTCATTGGGGTCAAACTCCTTCAAGGAGTAATCATCCTGGCTAGTCGTTAAGTGCTGTTCGCAACCGGTATTCTCAGTTGAAATGCATGGCACAATAGTCGTGGTTTTCTGGGGAAGTTCCTGCCAACGAGCTGTGACCCAGTCGCCGGTTAAAACATTGCTGCTGTAGGACGCCTTCGATTCAATGTATGAGTAACGCTCATCCTTTTCGACATGGTCATCTTCTTGCATCATTTTTGGAAAAAACTCACAGAAAATTATTTAAGTAAAGACTAAAAATAAACGTGAAAAGTATGTCAAAAGTATATATCCATAATATAGTACATATGTATATGCCACCTTTGATCTCGAAATTTATTAATTTATTCACTTATCCTAATATTTATTATTGCATGAATTATATTGTTTTATATTATCTATCTAAAACATAAAGCGTCCTGCGGAATTTTTCAATAATTTGTAATAAACACTAGATGGCGCTAAATCTGATTTTCAATTCAGGTTGGATTACCTTAATACTACGAACAATAGATGACGCCAGCTAGCGCCACATAAAAATACCGCATTGCCAGTGACTGACTACGTTTTACACGCGACTGGTAAGGAAAATGCCAGAAGTTCGACCACATTTCCAGTGCGTTTTGTTCTCTGCGAAGCAATAAATAATTCCACTCCCATCTGAGAACCAAACATTAAACACAAATCATTTTTGTGTACTACATAAAGTTATTTTTATTAGTAAATATTTGTTTTCTGTCATTTGTTTTTTACTGTAGTTTCTTTTTTTTTGTTTTGTTGTTGTTGTCGGTGATACATATTAAATACTTGTATTGGTTTAATTTATTTTATGCTCGTGTATTGTTAGATTTATTTATTTAGTATTTGTTTAGATTTTTAGAGCGCAAGTTTAGTAACTAAAATGTGAAATAATGGAAATTCTCTGTTGAGTTGTTTAGTTTAGCTGAGTTATGTTTTATAGGTAAATTTGCGATAGTTTAGTTTAAGTTTTAGCGTGAAAGTTAGTTTCAACCGAAAATCTTAAGAAGTGTAGGAAATATTTTGAAATATTCGTTTTCGCATTATTTAGCTCTATTTTGGATATTCATCTATATATATTAAATAAGCTTACATTTAATAGCACAGTTAGACATAGTTTTATAGTTTTTCTTTCTTTTATAAGTTAGCACATAATATTGTTTTAATTCAGAAATAACAAAATGAAACTAATACCATTAATTTGTACATATTTTTAAAGCCAACGAAACTCATAAAACATATTATGACTATTTAATAGAATAAGACTTGAATTTGTTTGAGCTTCAATGAAATACTTTGTAGTAGACCAGAATTAAGAAGAAGTTTACAAACCAGCAGTGTGAAATTTAGTTTTAAGAAGTTTTAGACATTTACACATATAGCACATATGTATTTATTATAGCGATCTATTTTCGATCTGATACATAAATATCTTTTTTGTCAGTTAGGCAATTGTTATTATATGTATATAAATTAGTATAATTTAATATTTTTTTAATCTAGCAAGCAAAACTTCCTTTTCTTTTCTTTTCGTTATCGTAAAAATGTTCCAAAATCTGTTGCCATCTTCACCGAATCGAATAGTTGTATAGTATATAGATTAATACCTGTTTGCTGATATTCCACTAAATATTTGACTTGAATGTTATTAATTGTGTTATTCAGACATTCACATATGCAATTGTTGTTGTTAATACATTAAATACACTTAATTTACTAATTATTGTTACCATTGTGGATGAGATGTTTTGTGTACTTTGTGTGTGTGGGATGTATGCGTTGTTTAGATTATGTTTAAAGACATTTGCTTGACATTACATTTAAGTTAAGGTATTTTTAATTTTTTTTTGTTGATTTTCTGTTAATTTTCAATTTTTTTTTTTAAATTTTTAAAAGTTTTCAATTTTTTTGCGTCCATTTTTTATAGCAATGATATATGAGTGTGTGTGTGCAGTCTGAGAGCCTAGCTTGATCTTGTTGATGTGTTTGTTTGCATGTGCGTTAGTGTGTGTGTGTGTGTGTGTTTGAATAATTATTTATGATTGGTCCATTAAAGTATACAAATTGTCATATTAATAGAGAAATCGACAAAAGTGCAAAAGATGTTTCGAGTGCGAGCGATCCAAGACGATTGCTGAGTAGCTGCTAGCTTTCTTTGTCTTTTAGGTACAACAAATGTGATATGCATCATCTAATATCCATAACAGGTAAAAGATTTGAAAATTTGTGAAGAAATTGTGCTTCAAATAGTTCGGTGCATTGTGGAATGTTCGAATATTACTTATACATATATAGTATGTCATATGTCGTATAATCGACTATTATATCGGTTTGGATTTGCTGAGCTGTGATGATATGAATCGCGTGATGATATTGGTTGAACGCTCTAGAGAACATTAAACGATGTTGTATATTTTCAAGAGAGTTGGTTTATCGAATCTAACAGATTAACATTTGATATTTATATTTTGAATACAATATTAATTTTTGACTTGATTACAATTAAATAAGTGTTTTGCTTATTGACATATTTTTGTGGTTTTAAATCAAACTTGAAACTTTGAATATCAATTCTAATGAAAACCTATTTAACCATTTTATGCGATTATAAACAAATCTGTATTGTGTCCCTTATTGCTTTTATGTTGCTGTTAACCTAAACGTGAATTGTTGTTGCTTGTTGAATATAAATATCCTTTAGATTTTCATTTACTGATTTTCATTTAACAAAATCGTGTCTGTTATTGGTGTTCATTTTGTTTTTTCATAAAATACATTTCATAAACGAACTTTGCGAAAGACAATTCAAAGTACGTAAATATTTATTAAGATCTTCAATATTTGAAAATAAATATTTAAGAATTTGCAATTTGTTTTCAACAGTAATTGAAATTTCTTGAATTGTTGTTTTGTTTTTGTTTTAATTTTTTTGTTCAGCTAACGCGCTAGAGCATTGCTTATTTGTTGTTGTACACAAATCTTTGATACCGAATAAATTAACAAACAAAATTACTAAAAAACCATTTGCTACGCTTTGCGTTCTCCCTGCTACTCTTGTTGCACATTTCATTTTACATTTTGTCGGAAATAATTTCATTTAATGCAGCTGCCTCTGGGTTATTGTTGGATGCTGTTGCTGCTGTTGAAGAAAGATAATAGTTACATAATTAGTTACGAACAACAACAACAAATGTGTTTCGTGTGATTTAAAATTGAAACTTTATTTCAGGCAAATTAAAAAGAAACCTGTTGATCTAATAAGAAAATAATAGTTCTTGTATATTAAATATGTGTAAGACGATTTTTTTTTGTTTTTTTGTTTTGATGTGCTTAAAATAATATCACATTAAAATGTTTTGCAGATAAACACTTCGATACGACCTTAAATTGAATATAATTAAATTACTAAAGCGCATAAATGGAAAAGTTGTGAAAGGACATGTATTGAAGAAATCAAATCGCATCTATCATAATGATAAATGGTATCTTATTTATATATAATATTATTCGGTTTCGCTGAGTGTCGTTTTTTTTTTTTCATTTTAATTTATCAGGAGCAATTTTGTTTTACAGTGTTTTGCGCAAAATAAAACTCAATCAAACATGTTATAGAACTACAAAATTTGACTACCTACAAATAAAGAATTTTTAAAGTATCAAATTAAAATTATACATTATGCAAAAAACTTAGAAGAGACGCAGCACAAAACACACAACACAAAATGTGGCAGCTTACACTTTGCTACTAAATGATTAGGGCATAATCAATTGGAATTTGCTGGATCACATAAATATATATTTTTTATGTATTTTTGACGAATTGGAATTTCCATATGGATAAGAGATATTTGTTTGTTGATTTGTTGTTTGGCTATTTTTTTTGGCGCTGACAATGTCAAATGTAAAATTAAACACACATTTTCGCTGATTTGTCGCTCATTTTCACTCCCACGTTTACGCTGCCACGCTCCTCACTTGGTTTTTGCATAGTTTTGCTATTTTTTTGTGATTTTTTTGTTGTTTGTTTTTATTTAATTTACTCGGCTTTTGGGTGCAACACATCTCTAGCGCTTGCGTTTTGTCATACGAAATCCAACTCGGACCGGGTGCTGTACATTTTGCGCTCCAGCGATCGCTCGAACCACTTCTTGATCTCGGAGACGACCAGCACAGAGGAGGTGAGCGTGACCAGAAAGAGTATGTCGTAGATGGTGAGCGCCTCCGTTTGGAATACCATCTGCAAAGGTGGAAAATAAACGACTAGCATTTGGCCAATGATCGAGAATGCGACAGCCAGCAGGAACATGCGATTGGTGGTCAGACCAATGGTAAAGACGCTCTTCGTCTGCGATCGGCACGAGAGCGCATTGAACATGTCAAAGAACACAAAGCATGTGAATGTCATGGTCGTATCTCGCTTCGTCTTGCCCAGCGTCCCGTCGGCCATTTCACGTTGAAAGACCCACAGTGTGCCCAGCACAATGATGCTGGCACTGAGCAGTACATTGACAATCACCGACTTGGTTATCATTGGTTGCTTCACGTTGCGCGGCTTCTGCTTGAGCACATCGTGATCGACGGGCTCGACGCCCAGCGACTGTGCCGGCGGCCCATCCATTATAATGTTGATCCACAATATCTGCATGGCATTCAACGGATTGGCAATGTCCATCAATGTGGCCAATGCAATCAGCGCAAGTGCCGCAATCGAGGTGCTCAACTGAAAGCGCACAAAGTTCCTAATGTTATAGAAGATGCCTTTGCCCTCCTCAATGGCAGCGCTGCAAGCAAACAAATCAGTTAAATATATTTTTCATACTCAATTTGCAATCGCCAATGACAAAAGCTAAAGAATGGAATTGAATACTTTAGTTTCCACTTTAGGCTTGTGTCATTTGAGCTTTATTGCACTTACATAATGGTGTGAAAATCATCGTTGACCAATATCATGTCAGCCGCCTCCTTGCACACATCGGTGCCATTCTTGCCCATCGCAATGCCAATGTCCGCTTTCTTGAGTGCCACACCATCGTTGACCCCGTCGCCGGTCATGCCCACAATGTTGCCAGTGCGTTGCAGTGACTTTACAATCTCCAGCTTGTGGCGCGGCGAGACGCGATAGAAAACGCTCACATTGTTGGCCACCTTGTCCAGTTGGTGCTCGTTCAATTGATCGATTTCCTGGCCAGACAATGTCTGGTGATGTATGGTATCAATGCCAATTAGGTTTGCTACAAGTGATTGATGAAACATTGTTAATATTATTTTCTCGAATTCAAATGTAATATATAACTTAAAATATATTGTAGCATTTGTAAAATCACTGAATAGAACAGCAATCAAGCCATCTAACTCTAATTAAATGCCTCTGATATAGATTCTTTAAAATATTTTTAACCTTTAGATTTAAGTCGGACATTTGTTGGCAACGGGGTGCCTCGAACTGAGCTCCTCGTAATCCCCCAAGTAAGCGCTTAACCCTCGCCGTGCTTGGCCTTTGTTTGTGTGCCAGGGCTAAAGAAGTAAATCGCTTTTCATAGCATTTTCCAAGCAATTGGCGCTCGGTTACACAAAGCAACAGGCAAGCAAATAACTCAACTGGAAATGGAATCGGAGTTGCGAGTTGGGGATGCGGATGGAGCCAGATAAAGCTGGCGATGGAGTTAGGTATTGTGACGAAGTTGCCATTGGCAACGCAGCTTGAATTAAAAGCTTTAAAACAGACCGACGAACGCAAAAAAAAAGGAAGAAAATTGTTAATTTGTAAGGGGCGCTGCTCGAAATTCATTTGCGACTCACTATCAAAAACTTCAAAAGAGAACGCGACTGCGGAATTCCCTAATTCCACAGTTACTGCTACCCTTAGTTTCCCGCCCACCCTTGAGAAGAGGTTGTTTGTTGCAGTCGGGCGCAGTTATGAAGAATACGCGGCAGCAGCAGCAGCAGCTGTTTGAGACAACAACAATACTAACAACAAAAGGATGTTTTTGCAAAAGTCGCGTCGCCATTTTTCATTATGGCGCCCGCGTATTTGTCTTGGCAAGTGCCAGGACATTCTTTTGTTCTGTTTGTATAACATTTTTTTTTTAGCGAAAGTGCACTGAAGTAAATAACAACAAACACCAACAACAGCAGATAGCATGGGATGGCCAGAAATGTGCAGCAAAATGAGCAAAGGAGAACGTAATTAAAACGCATTCAGCGTCATCTTCACACTCCTCATCATCCTCAGCATCCTCAGCATCCTTAGCATCGTCGGCATCGTCCTGCAGCCAGACAATTAAAAGCAGCGTTTCAGCGTTTGAGCGTTGCAGCTGCAGCAACTAAAGGATATCTTGCGCTGCCACTTCCTGCAGCAGGAAATGACAAAGGTGGGCAGCAACTATCATGTCCCTTTTCTATTTCCATCAACAGAACCCCTAACGATCTACCAACAGTTTCATCTACGTTTGGTCCTCTTGCTGCTAAAGTAAATTCAATGCAAAACTTGAATGTGCGCGTCATTTTATTGGCCAAGCAGTTGGCCATTCAAATTTTATGGCAACCAACCGACCACCTATTAAAAATAACTGCTCGCTCCCTTCCAGTATTCAGATAAAAATAGTTTTCCCGCCATGCATTTTGAATGTTTTAATTATAAAAAGTGTGAAAGAGCATATCCTATCACTGCTATAATTAAATTTGGAATATTGGTTTAAGATTCGCTTTATTTTGCTTTATTTATTGCCATATTTAAACTCAGCGCTTTAAATTAATTAAGGTTGTCCATCTCGTGGTATTTTATGCAGAGAATATTATAGTCGATATTTTATTAAATAAGTCGATTAATTAATTCACTGGCTGCATTCTCATTAACTTTATATATACTTTTGTTTACTTGTATTACTTCTTAATTAATTAAATTTATGCATTTACAAAATTATAATTGTTAGCTGTATTCCTTTCAAAATGGAACTTATATAATTGTATGCGGTAAGCTAAATCACTTAAATTACCAGTTGTGTAGTCAAAAGCTTTTAAATAAATAAATACTGGATTTCAATTGGCAAAAGCCAGCAATCAACCAACAAAATAAGCACTCAAAATATTTGTCATCAAATATCATCAGACACACCTGTTCAAGCAATCTGTAATTCATACTGGCATTGACCACAATAAATGACAACAACAACAACAACAATAATAATATCCACAGACAAAGCATAATCTGTACATATATTTCGCAATCGATAAAAATGCAATTCCAAATGGCTTTTCAATTTGGGATGATGATAACATGTGCAACTGCCACGCCAGTCACGAATATTCATTAAGTTCTCGAGTCCAGCTTCAGTCTTCAAAGGCCCATGTTAGCCGTACCCAAACAAAAGCCATTTATTATTTGATTACAAAAATAATGTTTCGCTACTCTTTTTGTAACCATATTTGCCTTGTGACAATGGTTTTTTTCTTTATGTTGGACAATATGGTTGGCGCTGACATCATGTTGGAAAAGAATGAATTTTACGAAAAATGGAAAAAATAATCATAAAAATTTCAATAATTTCGCATGGCAAAAATTAAATATAATTTAATATTTTTGCCTCTGTAAAAGATTTAAGTAATTATAAATGCTTTTAAAATAAATTAGTGCTTAAAATGGCTATGTGGCAGATGCAGAACATTTGCTAACAAGCTATCAACCCAAAACAACAACAGCAACAAAAAAAAAAACGGATAAAATATTTTAAAGTTTTCTTTTTTTGGGGCAACTTTGTTATGGTTGATAAATGCCTTTCGAAAAATGGAGAAAACTCATGCAACAAAGTTGTAAGCAAAATGAGCGGAAAGGCTAAAAACTTTGTAAGCTTGCAAAAATTTGTCGCAGCCCACAAAAACCGCTGGCCAAAAATCGGATTCGAGGGAAGTGGTTGATGGTTGCAGTGTTGCAGTGTTGCACATGAACTAGCCAAAAGTTGCAGCCGCATGAATATGATGATGATGATGATGATGATGATGATGATGGCCAAGCTTATGAAAATGTTCAGCAAGTTGCAGCATGCAACAAGCGCAGTCAACTTAACATACCAAAACAAAAATCAAAGTCATTTTGTTGTGTGCAAAATGTTGGAAAAACATAGCAATATCAACCAGGCAACAATACCAATATGAACAACTTGCAAGGAATTTTCTCATCTAGTAAATGGAAGATTCGCTGGCGTTCTGCTTTTGACATTTGCATTTATATCGGTAGAAGCCAGCAGCTGACGAGTTGCAATCTACTCTTTACCCACAGCTGCATTTAGCATATAGATAGCAATGGGAAATGTGGCTGGGGACGGCGTTTTGTATTTGCTTGTTTATTAAGCGACTTTCGTGTACGTGACAATTCTTTCAACGCTGCTGCTGCTGCTGCTGCTGCTGCTGCAGCTGATGATTTTTAGAGTTGCTCTGCTGTTGCTTCCGGCTGCCATGGCAATCGCTCTGTGTGTGATTATCTTTCGCTTCCGGCGGGAGACATCTTGTCAGGCAGATAGCAGACGGCAGCAGCAGCAGCTCACAAAGCCGATGGATGTGCAACACCCTCAAATGGCTGGCTGTCAGAGCCCTGCCATTGGATGCGTATGCATTTCACTAATTGGATATGTGTCAAGTGCGTTGGATAAGATCTGCTCAATGCAAGGATATTCATCTGCTCATTGTCGGTTAATATGTGAACAGGAGCCGCGAGGCACTTTTTAATTTGACATGACAAATGAAATTAAATGATATAATTAAAGATATTATATAAAAAACACGATGACATTTCATTGATTACTCAATACAACTAATAAGCGACTCGCAATTATAGAATATGCCACGAAGTTATAGATTATATTCTCCATAGCAATTAATAATCATCAAAATAATTATATTTAATTTTTAAGTGAATTTTAAACATTATTGTTATAATTTTGATGAAGTGCTTGAGAAATTTAGCAAAATACCGATGTGGCACAGCATTTAACAGCTTGCGGTTGCCACACAGACAGAGAGAGGAGCATAGAGCTGAGCCAACCGAAAATGCCACAGATTAAATTAGCCAGAACAGCTCAATTTAAGCAGCTAACGACAACTCATCCAGACAGAGCATAATTGGCATCCAAATTGAAAATGAAATACACCAACTTAATTAAGACTAGCAGCTCCCACTGTCTATTGAGTAGCTGTCTGACTCTCCGTTTGTCCGACTGTCTGTGGCATGCATCTGTCTGGTTGCAGCGTTAGTCATACTTAGCCACATATGCGAGTAGACAACTAGTCTACAACAAATTGCCAAGGATTAGTTCAGGCAAACTGGCCAGTAACTAGACAACAAGCCAGGTGTCTGGTGTGGGTTGGTTCAAAAGCCAGGGCCCAATTAGATTGAGCATACCCCGTAAGCAGCTTTTGGGGTCTTTATAACAACAGAGCAGAGCAGAGCAGGGGAGCAGGGAAGCACGAAAGCGGAAACTCATTCGCTCATTTACAATTTGAACGTCAAAATTTCAATCAATATGCAGGTCTGCAGCCAGCGGCATTAAATCAAATTCGGTTAGTTCCCTCCGCTGGGGCATTCTATAATTATGCCGTTATTCAGTGTGCAGCCAAAAGGGGAAATTGCAGAGCGAAAAAAATATTAAATTGACTAACGAAAAAGTTGGAGAAACGCAACTTTTCAGATGCCCTTCAATTTATATATTTATATACTATTTAAATGATCAAAGTTGAAATACCAAACACAATATATAATTCGAATTAAGAACAATATTGTAGAACATAAATTATAAATTTGACTATACTAAAGATCTGAAAACTGACAACAATTTCAGCAGTATATTATAATAAAATGCAGATAATTAAAAATAATTGAAAAATATTTCGATTGCTTTCTTTTTTCAAAATTGTAGCAAAAATGCTGACAAGCTTAGAATACCCTTCGCAAGGGTAATGCGAATTGCAAGCAAAGTGAATTGAAGTCGTTTTTTTCTTTAGCAATGTTTTGATGAAAGTTTGCTGTAAAGGAAAAAAGGTAGGGAAACTGTAGCTATGGCTGAGAGCAGCATTTGTTGTCCATGTTGATGAATGCCTGTTAGCTGCAGACGATAATGATGATGGTGATAATAACGATGATGGGAAGAGAATGAGTATGCTGACTCCTGGCGATGGCGCTGATGTTGACGTTGACGATGCGGAGTTCGGGCCACAGTTAATTATTTGAGCGACTGACGATGCGGCTGCTGCTGCTGCTGCTGATGATGATGATGATTTTCCTTCACAACCCACATCAGCATCAGCATCAGCATCCCCAACTGCTTCTGCTTCTGCTTGTGATGTTGCTTCCTCTGTGCGTTGCAGGATATTAGATGTGGGTCGGCCCTTGCACGCCCTGCGGGCCGTCAGGAGGACAGGCGAATGTCGCTTTACCTATCCTAGCTTCCTCTACCTTTCTCCTTATTCTATACCCTATTTTTTTGCTCAGGTTGTTTTATTTTTTCAATTTACTGCGTTCACTTTGCCGCATTTTATTTTGCACTCGGCGAAAAAACTGATGAATTTTATACGAAATTAAATGGGAAATGTGAACGAATCTCGAGTTTATCTCGTCTAAGAAAACTCTTCCAAGGCGACAAAAGCTTCTCATTATAAAGTTAAAAAGGTTGCAATAAAAACTGGTAAATATTTAACTAATTCGAAATTTCTAAAAACATTTTCCTATTCGGGCCAATTTATTTACTTTCTTAATTGAAGCAATTTATACTTTTATTTACAAATAGATTTCTGTTTGTTCTAGAATAAAAGATGCCTTTTTTCTTGGCGTGTACATTCCTTGTGTTTGCTGAGTTTCTCTCGAGATGTTAGTGGATTCTACTTAAAATCATACTTAAGATCTTTGTTGTTAATGAAAAAGTTGTGCTCAAAGTGCATTTAAGCTGTCATCAGCACTTTGCCAGACAAATTGTATGCAACTTTAGCGGCAGAATTTTCAGTGATATTTTCAAAGTTGCACATTCAACAAGAATTGATAAAGACTGAAGTACAGTTGTCACACACGCTCTGCCGAGAGCAGACAGCATGCAGCAAGCCGCAGGCAGCAGGCTGCAGGCAGTTAAACTAAAACTTCAAGTGGAACTCAACTTGCGGCAAACTAAGAACTCAAAATTCAAAACTCAAAGCTCAAAACTGGAATACGGAAAACTTTTAGCAGCTTCAACGACTGACATTGTTAATTAATTCTGTTTGCATACTTAAAGGCTGTCCGGCGTGGTTGCATTGCGTGCGTGTGTGTGCGTGCGTGTGTGTGTGTGTGCGTCGCTGCACGCCCCTAACCCTTAACCCTTAACTTTTATGCCCCAGACACCAAGCCTCCCACCGCCCCTCGCCACACATTCATACATTCATAGATATATCACAGTCCAGTCTTGAAAACATTTTAGTGTCGGGCATAAATTGTGGTAGTTTTAGCAACGAGGGGTTGGGTGGGTGGTTGGTTGGGCATAATAGTAGCCAGGGTTGCCACTTTTAATTACGCAGCGTTGACAAATTTATTTGCATAGTTTCTAGCGCGCTGGCACTTAAGTTAAAGCCAACAATTTGTGGCTAGCGTTGGCAGGATTCTAAAGAGTTTTTAATTGAGTTTTGAGCTGAGGTTATCCACACAAGACAATGAATTTGTTGTCGGCTGAGCTTGGATAATTTTTGCTGCGTCTGTTTGCCATCTGAATTAAGTTAGACCAAAAATTTACCTACATTTAACGAGAGACTAAGAATGGGCGGCCAGACAAATGTTTCGAGATTGCATTTGCAACGGGTGTGTGAAAATAATTGTGGATAATTTATTATAGCAATTTATTCAAGCAATATCAACAGGTAATTTAATTCCATTAAAGAGTTGAATAATTATCTAGAGCAGATCAAAGATGTCTAGCAAATATATAAATTATATAATTCGAGATTGCATTTGAAACGGAAGAGTGGAAATAATTGTGCAGAATTTATCACAGCAATGTCAACAGGTAAATTAGTTGCAATAATAAATTCAATAAATATCTAGATGAGCTCAAAGATTAAATGTCTAACAAATATGTAAAATATGCTAATCAGATCTAACATAATCAATTTCCCACTCAATAAATAATCAAAGCAATTAAAAAAGTTGTGTCAAACTTACCGATAGCCATTGCCGTTTCTTGGGCATCACCGGTGACCATCTTGACACGGACTCCACTCTGCATCAGCATCTCAATAGACTCCCTAACAAGGGGTCGAGGCGGATCCGTGATGCCAGCCAGGCCGCAATAGATCAAATCCTGCATGGATCTGCCCTTGGCCAGGGCCAGGACACGCAAACCCTTGCGTCCAATTTCATAGGCCTCGGCAAGGAATTCGGCCTCGTTCTGTTTGGTGAGCGGCACCGTCTGATTGCCAAATTGATATTTGGTGCATTGGGGCAGCAGCGTTTCCAAGGCGCCCTTCGCAAAGAAGATCTCCTCCTTGTTGTTGTTGTACTTGTGTATGCACTTGACGGCCATCATCTTTTGCTCGGAGCTGAACGGATACTCCTGGATGCGCACATAATTCTCGGCTGTGGCATACATGCCATTCTTCATGGCAACCGCAACGAGAGCACCCTCGGTCGGCTGGCCAAGAAGTGTGCCATTCTGGATGTAGGCATTGTTGCAGACGGCGCCAATCTCCAGCAGATTCGTGATATTCGTTTTGGCCATTTCCACATTGTTGCAGTGGCGTATATGAATCTCGCCCTGATCATTATATCCAGCGCCGGTTACATCCGCCATATAGCCGTCGGAGGTGATGATTATCGTGGCCGTCATCTCGTTCTTGGTCAGGGTGCCCGTCTTGTCCGAGCAGATGACATTCACACAGCCCAATGTCTCCACGGTGGGCAACTTCTTCACAATCGAGTTGCGTTTGGCCATCCGCATGACGCCCAGGGCCAGGGTGACAGTGACCACAATGGGCAGACCCTCGGGTATGGCGGCAACCGCCAACGAGACGCTTATGTTGAACATCTCCGAGAGCGGTTTGCCCTGCAGCCAGCCAAGGAGCATGATGACGCCAATAATGAGAAACGAATAGAAACTGAGCTGTGCGCCCAAAATATCCATTGACTTTTGCAGCGGCGTCTTGGGCGCCTCCTCGGCCTGCATCATCTTGAAGACCTCGCCAAATTCACTCCTCTCGCCGGTGCTGACCACGATGCCCTTGCCATTGCCGCAGCGGACTAGGGTGCCCATGAATGCAATGTTCTTCATATTGCTGTGATCCTTCACATTCGTATTGTTCAGCAGGACATCGGTGATTTTGCGTGCCGGCTCCGTTTCGCCGGTGAAGCTGCTCTCGTCAATTGACAGATCCACGGCCTCGAAGAGACGCACATCGGCGGGGACACGATCGCCCACATTGAGATAAATGACATCTCCCGGCACCAATTCACGGGCGAGGAACGTGTCGAGGCGTCCCTCCCGCAAACAATGACACTCTGGCGGCACCAGTTTCTTCAGCTCCTCGAGACTCTTCTCGGAGCGATACTCCTGGATGAAGGCGACCGTTACCACAATCAGAATGGCAATGGTTATGCTGACCGCATCGTCAAACTGTTTCATAATTATCGAGACGAGGGCAGAGCCAAGGAGCAGCAGAATGAGAGGATTCCTAAACTGCTCAATGTACTTCTTCCATGTGGGATCCTCCTCGATGACATTGAGCTCATTGTGACCAATAATTTTGGCCCGATATTTTGCCTCCGTCCACTTCAAGCCGGTGCGCACATCAACCTGCAGACGTCCTGCTACCTCAGAGGTGCTGTGCGTCGATGACTCCGAGGTAGAGAGCAGCATTTCGGGTGTTAGGGTTAGACCCGTCTGTGCCAAAGAAAAAGAAACAGTTCTCATTAGACTAAATTCGCTTAATAATTGAACAACATTAATGAACAATCAGTATGGGATTTTTTAGCTTAGCTTGCAAAGGAAATATCTACAATTGTTAGTAATAAGCCTTATAAGAGACAAAGAAGCGTGTACCTAACTTTTTAGTCAAATATTACCAAACTATCATTGTTTATTAATTTAATAAATTTATTAAATATGTATAAAGACGAATTTCATATTTTGGGAAACAAAAATTAAATAATTTAATTTAATTATTTTGAATATAATCGTTTATATTGCATATTCTTATTGGAGTCTTTGTAAAGTGTTCAATCTTTTAAAAAATATCTCACATATTTCTTTGCATATTGTATTTTCTATTTGTGGTCCTATTTTTGTTATAAATTTGTTAGCCGGGGTGCAATAGTCTTATATTTTGAATGCCTGGGGTTGCTGCTTCATACCACTTATTAATTAAATATTTTCGTACCATAATAAATAAATATATTTTTAATTTCATTCGCATTCCCAAAAAAACGGCAATTTGTGTTTATTGTTTTAACAACGGGAGACCAACTATAATTTCGTGCACCAACAGTTTGGCATTAACTTTATTGATTGCAAGCCCTTCTCCGTTCGTTTTGTTGACCACAAAATGGAGAGCCTTGGCAACGGTTCATTTCATCAGGACATTGCCGGCCCCAATTCATCAACCCACCACCCTCCACTTGCAGCTAATTTGCGCTCGTCAACAAGTTTGTAATCATTCACAAAGGCAGACAGATAAAGCCCCCCCTACCAAACACAAGTAGAAAAGTAGTAAAAGGCACATGAGCTCAGTTATCCTCTCGACTCCATAGTTGTCATCTTTTGTAACATGCAGCCGGTCGGGTCCGGTCTGCCCTTGTCATGTCCAGCTGAGGTTGGGTGAAATGGTTGGCTCCAATCAGCCAGAGTTGCCACCCATACCCAGTGAAATTCGACTAGCTCGAAATGGCTTCGAGTACGTGACTTTCTGGCTGTTTTAATTTCATTTTTTTTATTTTTATCTTGTTCGTTGCTCTTCATATTTTTTATAGATTTCATTCCCTTTTTGTGAGTGAGAGAGAGAGAGAGAGAGAGAGAGAGAGAGAGAGAGAGAGAGAGCTGGGCACTTGTGTCTGGGGCTGTGCTCATGCAAAAATAAATGCGAACTGTGTGCAGATCGTAAATTAAAGTTTCTCTCGCTCCCCCTATTTCTCTGTTCCTGTTCCTGTCCCTGTCCCTGTCCCTGTCTATATGTGCTGGGAGTTTCGGAAAACTGCAGCTTTTGTGGTTTGATTTTAATTTGCAGTACTCTCGAATTTAGTTTGGATTTTACTGCCAACGCGCAAAATAAACTGTTTTATGTGGAATTGGGGAATTCAAACTTTATCTAGCCAACTGGCAGATTATAGCGTTTGGCACTTTTTTAATTGGTTGGCATAAAAAAGAAGTATTTTCAAAATAAATATTAAATTATTTTGCAAACATTTCAAATTTGAATACGGTTTCACGCAGTCTTCAGCGTTGAACAAACACTTGCTTTTGCGTCTCGTCTTTGGACCAAGTTTTTCCGTTCCGACACTGACAACTTAATAGGCCAAACAGTTGAGCATTTGAAAATTAGCATTCGAGCAAGCCAAAGACTAAGAGCGATGAATGGTTGGAGTGCAAACCATTCATCTTGAATTAAGTGGCAGAACATTTCATTATGAGAACTATGCAAAATTCGGTTTAATTAAATGCACAAACCGAAAGCTGCTGGCGCTCAAATTACAAATTACTCAGCTTCAAATGATGCGCAAAAAACTAAACCAAAATCGGTTGGCTTTGGGTATGCAAATAATGGAAATACCCTTGCAGGCAGGTAGACAGACAGACAGGCAATGCCTGATTGCATTAACTAAATCCATACGCATAATGATAATTAATGCCCTTAGGCAGTGCAAGTGATAATTGTTTCGATTTATTTGTGCTTCATGCATCATTTAAACGTATAAATTACACTGCGGTCACAAATTAAATACTCTGCAAGCAATTTCAGTCAAACCAGACCACTAAATGAGGCACAAAAAATACATTTAAAATAATGTTGCGACTCTCAATTGTGCATTATTTGGCAAGTTTGACTAAATGTAATTTTATTTTGTGTCCGTTTTGGTTTTTAGAGTACCAATTCAATTGGAGCATTATTGGAGAGCTAATTGCGAATTGAAATTCGCAGAGCTTTTAGAGAATATTTGCAGCTGCTGGTTTCACTCGATTCATTTGGCCGCACCCTATTTGCCTTTTTGGCCACCCTTTGGGTATGAAACCCATCCAGAAGTCAAGTGGCACGTCAAATTTTGGTTTGCCCAGCGGCCACTTGAAATTAAAATAGCAGCAATATCATCGCCATCAGGCAGATGTCCCAAATCCCAAGCACAAAATCCCACATCGAAGGGCATCTGAAGAGTTTGACTTTTTCATGGGTCACTCTGCTCCAACTTTACACATCTATATTCCCCACTTTATGCACCTCTTTGTGTTTTTTGTTTTGTTTTGTTTTGTTTTGTTCTATGCACTCCATTGGTGCTGGCCTACATTGAAATCTGGTGTCTGTTCCCCTGCCTGTTCCCCTTACCCCAGTGTGTGATAATAGTTTCTTTGTATATTCAACGACCAACCACAAAAAGTGAAAAAAAAAAACAGCAACAGCAACATGAGCAAAACATACACAAAAGTGACTGAAACTTGCCACTTTTTGCATTGCACGAAAGGTAAATATGTGTCTAGTTGTGGCATTGTGAAGTTTGAAAGGTTTTTGTCTACAATTCTGTATTGTTTCCACTTTATTGATATCACTTGACTCGGAAACTTGTTTTGCACACATAAATATTTTGCATTTAACGCTTAGTGTTCCAAAATTAACTTTAAATGAAGTTCCAGGAAACGGGGAGGGAGAAATTATGAGAGAAACCCATATTGTACAACCGCATAACTCATTAAAGTTATTGTTTAATTATCTTTTGAGATGTATAGAAATATTACAAGACATTAATAAATATTCATATATTTTCAAAACCTGTTTCAATGCTGTGTGTGCTAATTTATAGATAATGAAAGTATTCCTAGTCTTTTGTTGAATTTTCATGTATAGTAGGGACCCTTAAACAAACTTCAGGAATGTTTAACTTAAACATAACAATTAACATTATAAATAATCGATTTTCAATTTAAGAATTTTTCTAAACTCCTTATTTTTCATAGAAATCTGAATATTTGACAAATTTCCAATTTATATATGAAAGTGCAATATGCTAATTATTGAGTATCAATTAAGACTTTATCTATATCAGTATCTAGTTTCTTGTAGATAAATTTTGTAATTAGCATATAATTAAAAGATCCTCAGAAAAACTAATAACGCTTCAGTGCACTTTGGTCAAGAGCTATAATGAATTATTAAGCTGATTAGCAATGCAAAACTACTTAATAAAATTATTCATAATTAAATTTTACTAGAAGCACATGCACGTCAATTTTGCGGCACGTGTAGAATTTAAATATACCAAGTGATTCCCCAAGTTCAAGGGAATCTCGCTAATGATGAGACGGACGTTTACAAAATGCTTTATCATTTGATATATGGTAGATCGTAGATAGTAAATCGGGTACCTGATCATCATCATCAATGTATATGCTAATAGCACGCCTTGGCCTAAGCATCTTATTGTTTGTTTTGTTTTCTTTTAAGCAGCTGCAAATAAAGCACTTAAAATATACTTATGACATACCAAAGTCTTGAATAGATTACCAGCACCAATAAATATTTAATACCCATAACCAGTAACAACCATAAATGCCACTTACATCAGACGTGTTGATGACTATCATTGTGATAAGGCAAAGACGATGACGTCGATGATGAGCAGATGAAATCTTACCATATGTGCGGGTTTTCAACCCACTCAATCGTCATTTAAAATAGCACGCTAATCAAAACTTTTACTGAGCAGCAGGGGGAACCTGTATGTATGTAATGTATATATATACATTTTTTTTATCAGTTAAACTTAAAGTGTGAGAGCTTTAATCACGCGCGAGATGTGAGCATGAATAACACTATAATAATAATGTGTATTGTACGTAAAATATGATATAATTTATTATGTGAAATCGCTTGTACGTGTGTTGAATTGGAACCGGGCTATTATTCTAATAATATCAGTTATAATAGTATTTCATATGTCATTTCATTTAATTGGCAGCATTCGCTTTGAATGTTTTTTGGTTGTAAAATCACAAGATTTCTATTTTTGCGATTTGCCTAATTCGTGTAATAATATTACTATTAGTCGTGCAACAAAACAATATGTTGATGCCTTAAACTTAATTACCCCTTATAACAATATAATAATAAAATGTAACGCTTCGCTGGTAATATTTTACGGCTTAGTTTCCACCGGATATAGAGATAACGGACAATTAGTATTTATTTTTAGAATACTTCTTGGCCATAAATCTGGGAGATTAACCAAATATTGATCAACAATTCTTATCAAACATTCATCAGACGACGTGGGTCATTGACAGCCATATTTATACGCATGCTATGGCCAATATTATTATTCATCAATAACAACACAAATTCTGAGAGACGGAAAGAGCGAGAGAGAGAGAGAGAGAAATGTTCTTGTTTGGCTGAATTGGAACATGCCACGAAGAATGTTGCCAATAACATAAAGCAGACAGACTCCAATTGGAGCGATCGCCAGCATGCGCTCGATGTAAGCCAACTGCACACACACACAATACATATATATCTATCTATATTTATATGTATGTCTTGTTAAGTGTGACGTCAAATTTCTGATGAATTGTGCGAGTTTCAACATTTTTCTCGTATTTAGTTGAAAAATGATAACGTGGCCTTTGAATGGGTACTGCAAAGGGGATCTGTCGGGGATTGGACTTTAAAGCTCATATTTTTC